CAGACTGAGAGCAGAACCTGATCAGCTGGAAATTGCTGGTTTATAACCAACAGCAGCACACTAGAGTAACTCTAGAAGTGCAGCAGAGCTCCCCTTTTAGGTCCTCACTGAGGATCTGGGTTAGCTGGATGTAGAAGCATTCAGCTTCTCCCCAGCAGGCAAGGTAGTTATAGGGTATGTTACAGAAAATTGCGTTGTGAATTAGCTTTGTAGAGCGGGTCAGAGAAGATAGTTTTCCTCTGATTTCACTTCTTAAACGGAATTCTAACTTCTTGAGAATTACTAAAGGAAATCCTTACATATTTAAGAGAATGGGGGAAAACACTACTGGCTAGTTGTGCCCTGTTCTGCAGTGTCCCTGCCTCCTGTTTCTGGGTTAGTGTCTCTCAGCCCAGTTCTCTTGTCAGCTGTAATAATTCCATGCTAATGTAACTGGGAGAGGAATCTTGTCCTCAGCTTTTAACCTCATAAATTTTAAACTGTGCCTGCATTTTTAAACTGTGCTTGCAAAATACCTGTGCAATCCTGGTTGAAATTACAGTAGACTAACTACAGTGATTTGAAATCAAAGGTCTACTGAGAAGTGGATACTTGCTGCTCTGTCTGAGCTGCCAAAAGATTTGGGTTTAAATTACCTGATTTAGATGTTTCACCAGTTAGACACAGTTGAAATGAAAAAGTGCTTGTTTTGTAAGATTCCAACACTCCCATGCCCCAGCTGACCCAAAAAAAGGCATATGACTCTTACCTCCCTGAGGCAATTTCTAATTATTGAAGATTCAAAACTGTAAGACAGAGATTAAAATGATGAGCACCTCTAGTGCAAAAATATTTTGCAGGAACATTTCGTGGCTGAAAATGCCAGTACCCCTTCAAGCTCTGAGAACACCTCACTCATCCAGGATGCCTTGAGTGGGAAATTGAAGACAGAGAGTGCCCACTTGCAATGCCTCCTTCCACTCTCCACTGAGGACATGCTTGATCTTCCTCCTAGCTCCAGTTCCTTCTTTTCCTTTTGCCTGACCAAAATGGAGCTTCTGCCTTGCGGCACCATCCTAAAGGCCTCTGGCTGCTTTGTAAAGCTGGGTGTCCCAGACAACGTAGGCATGAGGATTAGCCAGTGTTTAATCATCAGGAAAAGCTAAGACACCTCACCGCTTTCCTCCTCCTCCATAAATAATCCAATGGGGTCGCCCAGAGTTTTAGGCTTTGAGAGACACCGGTTCTTCTCTGCATTGATGTCAGTGGAGAGGTCTCAGTCTTGAGCATGCACGCTTTGAGGACCAAGTACTGGGACAGGCTCTCCAGCTCCTGTGATGGATTTGTGACAGTTATTACTGGAGCCTGCTTTGAGTTTGCCTGTAGGGGAAAACAAATCTTTCAGATGTACGTGAACATGGTGCAGGTATTCCTTTGACCTTACGCATTTACAAATAAAGGCTAATAACAAGCTCTCTTGGCTTTCACATAAACAATTAGATTATTTTGAGAAAAACACCCTGTAGCAGTGAATTGGGATTATGCAACTTTCTTGTTCTTAAGCAGACATTTAGCAAGATATATTTTACTGTTTAAATCTAAAAATAGAACGGGTACACTGTGTTTTGTGACCTTGGTTTCATTTTTCCATTCTCTTTCGTGCACATTACAGAGCTACCTCCTGCAGCTTGCTCGACAAATGGTCTCACATAATTTGACCGTACTGACAGTTTCCTCTTGGTATGAAGCTGAAACCACATTTGTGGGGATATATCCTCTCTTTCTTAGCTGAAGAGTTTAAAGGGCAAGAAGTGTTATGCAAAGCATTGTGCTATAAGCAACATAAACCATAGGAACTTTTGTGTGCAGTTTCCTGACACAGTAAGATTGTGCGTGACCCCACAGTAAGTCTTAAAATACCCAATCCAGGGTATCCAACCTCTGTAATCGTTTTTGTTCTACTGCAGTCCCAGAGGGTGGTGATGCCTGGTTATTAATTTTAAGGAAACAAGGTCAGATTCTCTAATCAAGTGATTTTGGTATTTGTTTGAAGAAATACAGTGTATGACTTTTAATGGAGAAGAGAGCAGCAGTTCCACTTTGGATAACTTTTGAAGCTTCGGAGTTGATTTTCATGCCAGGCCTTTTGCAAATATTCACAAAACGCAACTATGCTGAAACAGCTATTTTTAGAGTTGGAATTTTCATATGAGTACTCTCTTTATTTTGGGTCTCTCTCTCTCTCATATATCCGAACTAAGTGCTTTAGAACACGCAACCTTTCATAATAAAACCATAGGTGAAACGAAGCTCTCTGTGAAGGGTTTTAGCTTCACTTAAACTTCATTTTAGTAGAAATGTTCCAGATATAGCATTAATAATGATTTCTGTTTTCAGGGATTTATCCCCTCCTCTATGACAACACAGAGTTCTGAATGAGAGGAGCTCTTCTTTTAAAAGTAAAGTCTCATGGTGGTCCTAATCCTGGGCTTTGTGAAGCTGATTAGTTGATACTGGCAGAATTGATTTTGTTTGCTTAGCCAAAGTATTGAATAACATTTCAGGAATTTTCTGGTCCTTTAACATTCTCTCTTTATGAGCCCCTGTTGACACTGAGCAAGACTGGCAGTCAAGATGATCTTTGTTTGAATGTTCAGTTTGACAGTTTTGCAAGGGGAAGATTATAAATAAGCAAGCAGGAAGATAAACAGGATATGATGTCTTCTATTAAACTAAGTTCTTTAATTATTTGCTATAGTAATACCAGTTGTAGGACCAATATGAGATGCTGGTATTTACTAGGTTTACCACTAAAACCTTCCAGTTCTGTTTGCAGACCAAGTAGCTTTTACAAGAAGAATGATTTAGGTGTCTTCATTTTGAGAGTCAGCCTTCACCTATCTTTATAAGGAGGCCTAATATTCATTGAAGGAAGGTGTTCAGCACTTCAAGGTCAGACCTTCTTTAATGGATTCTGTTTGCATCGTAATTAGATTATTTCTGAAAATGTGGGTCCTGCCAGTCTACTTGATGGTTTTCTTCTGGTCACAAAGAGGGAACTGAACTCCAAAATTAAAAACTTTTAATGAAGATCTATAAGGGTTACTTTTCTCATCCCTGCCTGTAGGCTTAGGTACTGCTTTTCTCAAAGGAAGCTTGTCCAGGCGACTGGGGGCTTATCACAGTCCAAATCCTGGCAATATCCAGCCTCTATCAGCGTGGTGACCTGCTGTAGGTCAGCACATGGGGAGCTGCATTGTGGGGCTGCTCGAGCTGAGAGCATGAACTGCTGCAGTCTCAGCCAGAGCCAAATGTTCGTACCTGTGAGATTTCAAGATTCGTGTTCCCTAGATAAGGCACAGACTGGAAAGCTGTAAAATACATTCAATAGTGATTTACATCCCCAAACCCTTTATTTCCCAATCTAAGGGGAACCGATGCATCGACAGCAGCATATCAAAGTTCCTTGCAAAGGAGGGGATAGTGCTTTCAGATGCTGCAGGCAGCGACAGAACAGTCAGCTATTGACAGTCCATCAAGTGTAGTGAGAGCTGTGAACTGGCTGTCCGACCCACTGATAGATGTGTCCCTGGTAAGATGCTGCACTTTGAGTGCTTGGAGCATCGTGCAGAAAAGCTGTTATTTTAGAGTAGCCACTCCTTGGGAGTTGGAGCTGTTGGTGCTACTCTTGAGAAATTTTAGGTGGCAAGTAGGAATAAAAAATAATTATTTGAGATTATAGCTCAGGGTAGTCAAAGAAGGGTGATGTGCAGACCTGTGCAAAGGCAGCCTGAATAATGTAGATAGTATACTGTCACAGGGACTACGACCTGGCCACTAGATCAAGGAAAACTTTGTATAACACTTGGGGCCTGAGAGCATTCACCCAGCATGGTAGAGGTTCCAGCTCTTTCCCCAGAGCAGAGCAAAAGTACCTTGAAGCAGGGACTCTTAGGAGAGATCCAAAGGAGACAAAAGTATAGGGAGGGATTAGGGTTTTTATGGCATCAGGATGCCAGGGTTTAAGAGTAGATGCTTTGTCTCACCTTTATGGAATAAAAAAAAATAGTCCTACCTCCCAGACTGGGCAGAAGTACTCAGTGTGGCACTGTGGATGTGTCCCGAGCCCCATTCCTTCCACATGTTCCCCACGTGTGGCATTTTCCACACCACTTGTATAACATCCCCTAATTGGAGAGTACGAAGCTGAATGGTGGGTCCAGTCTGAATCCTGTCCCAGGCTTTACCAGGTGTTGTTTCAGGGGGCAAGAGGCTGTAACGCAGCCCCCCAGGACGGTGTGTGTATATTCCTCATCACAGAACGTGGCAGCTCCCTGTGCAGCTGGACGTGGCCCAGGTTTTCGTGTGGGTACAACCTCAGCGGAGATAAATGAACCTGCAGAAGAACCCCAGCTTTGGAGCCAGGAGCTCTGGGGCCGGGCGAGTGGTCGTGCTGCCTGCGCTCGGCCGGACCACATGCCATTCTGTACTGTCAGCAGATGTTTGTTTTCATTTGGGTTTGGACAGGCTTGGAGGGAAACTGGACGTTTTCCAGTTCTGTCCATCCTTAATTTCTTCTCATCGGGTCGAGAATAACTTGAGTTATTTATGTTGTTGCACAAGCGCTCGGATGGTGTTTTGTTGACCAGCCATGGTAACCTTGGTGCGAGCCAGATGTGGGAGCTGCTCCCGAGGTGGCCAGGGGTGTGCTGTGCCTGTGTTCCCACTGCTGGACCCCTGCCCTGTCTGCCCCCCATGACTGACATCCGCAGAGTCCGTATCTCTGCAGCATCCTAAGGTCCCTGGGAAGAGCTTGTCACCAGTGGCCTTTACAACCACTCAGACGGCACGTAAGGTAGAGAAAATGCTGAAGAAACAGTGTTGTAGCATAGGAGGTCATGTTCAGAGCTGGAAAACTCTGCAACTTTAGGCATTGCAGGAGGAAAAATCAGAGCATGGCTAGGTTTATCCCTAAAAACTACTATTTGAGAAGACCAGTAAGCCCACAGCGCTGGGCTGGCTGTGCCAGGTGAGTATCTGTGTCTCACATCACCTCCCTGCACGGCACTCCTGCTCCTGGAAATTTCCACACTCCCATGAATGGATTAGGCAAAGGGAAGTGGAGCCTCTGACCTATTTTTCCAAACCAAAACAAAGCTGGCAAGTCTAATTTTAGGCCTGGTTTAGTATGGAAACGATATCAATACTGACACAAAGCTTTTCCGTTCTCCTGATAATTAAGTTCTGTGTATTTAAGTCTTGCATGTGGAAGAGGCTGAGAATTGATAGCTCGCTCTCAACAGCTGGGTTTACAATTAACCGCTTTTATCAACAAAGAGCAAAATTAAAGGGAAGCAATACCACACACAGGCGTAGCTTTGTTTCAGTTCGCTGTTGAACCAACATGTTTGTAACTCCTCTCTCTGTGCCTTGGGACAAGGTGTGTAGCAGCAGAGTATCTGCCTGCCAGTCTTCAGCTGACTTGTTAGAAAATAACTTACGGGGATGTTGGGACTGATGTTCTTCTCTCTCTCTCTGTGTCTCGCTGTGCCTGGTTTTGTTTGCATGTTAGGTTTTTGTGGCCAGTCCAAACAAAACACAGCCTATTGTGGAGATCCTGTTGAAAAACCAACCCAAGCTAATTGAGTTTCTGAGCAATTTCCAGAAAGAGAGGACGGATGACGAACAATTCACTGATGAGAAGAACTACCTGATAAAGCAAATCCGAGACTTGAAAAAGTCAACGGCATGAAGAACTCCTCTCGTTTTCCACTGTAGGCATTAATCTCATTTGTTAAGTTCCTCTGTGTCCCTTAAACACCACAATAGTGCTTGAGAAGGCACAGCAAGTGCCTGGTTTTTATTTTGTCTTTATTCCTAGATGTCAAGAGTATAGGGGTTTTACATGAAAACTAAAAAAACAAAAATCTAGAATAATATATTATTTTTAATCAAGACTATAATTATTTATGTCAGTTTAGAACCTCTCTGTAATACAAGCTGGTTTGACAGATTTTCATTTGTGCTCAAGAAGAATGAACCTCTTTGCTTAACTTTATCAGCAAACTCAAGCTGTTGGGGAGTGCACGGAGTAGGTCTTCTGAGGACTGTGACATTCCTTTGCACTTGTAGTTGTGACTTTGTTCTAGTGCTGCACACACACAAGACTGTGAAAGAGTACGTTCGCCTCTGGAGTTAGCTGCACTTATAGAGTGGGTTCTTTAGTCAAAACAGTGGGAGATGAAAAAGCAGTAAAGGTCACGTTTTTGCTTTATTTTTGTGTTCTTTCGTCTTTAAGTTTTCTTTTCTCCTAGATCAGAGCTTTTCTATTCAGTGCTAGGGAATGGATGAAGGCATCAGCCAGATGAGCTGTTTCTATCTGCCTCCTGTTTTCCTGTACGTGATGTACCTTGCCCTAGAGCACAGGCTATTCCCGACAGCTCCCAAGCAGACTGATGAAGAGCAGCCCCAGGTATGCAGTGCCCATGTATTCCCCAACGGGAAGAAGGGAAGAGCAACCTCCCCTCATTCAAGGCCCATGCTGTATTGCTAATAAAGTCATCTTGCACCTGCTAAAATCAGCAAGAAGCCTGTCCCCAGTTTCAATGGGAATAATTTTGGGTGGTGGCCAGAGCTGCGTGGCTGAATTGTGCCAAGCGCTGAGCCCAGCACCAGTGCGAGAGGAGGATCCTCGGCGTCTTCCCACCCAGATTGAAATCCCCGCTGTGCGAGGCGGGATTGAGCCGAGTTCAGCAAGGGGATGCTGAAATGGCCTCAGCCCGAACCACTGGGTGGCCTGGGGTCCCCAAGTCTGCAGGTGGTCTCAAAGCTGATGGCATTTCTCGGATACCTAAATCAAGCGTGCGAGGCCATTTAGCAGCCTCAGGCACCAAAGGCTACTTGTAGTCTGGAGTTGTTTATCCTTGTTCATCCCAATGTCAGTTCAGGTTCTGTGTTGAAGTTGTAGAAGGGGAAATCATTGCACTGTTAATGTTTTAAGTTTAATAAGCTCTGTCGTCCAAACAGTGTTTCCCAGGTGTGTTTGAAGAGTTTTTTGGGGTCTTTCATTTTCTGGTGGGAAATGCAAATGTTACTCTGATGCTTTATTAGGAAGTGGAGTTTGAGAGCAGGGAGTGGAAATTTCTTGAATTTTTCTGGACAGCCTAAGTTCTGAGTTTTCCTATTTGTTGTAAGACAGTTACCTAGCTAAAACTCTAGCTAATGCTTCAGATAAAAAGGTGACACTGAATTGTAAAAACAGAACAAGACCTTTTCCTTCATTAAGCTGTTGTATATTGGGGTGACTGATACTTTAATTTATGTGCTTTAGAAAAGGGATGAAATGGAACAGATTGTGGGCTCGTGTTTTTTTCAGATGTCAGATATACACAACAAATGTACAACTTAGTTGCCTGGAATTAAAAAAATATATATATTTACAAGCTATTAAAGGCATGGTTACTGATCACTCTTTATTTCCATCTCTGTATTTTTTTCCTCTTGCCTTTCTGGAGAGCCAGACTCCGTGCAGCACTAAATTCTTTCTCTCCTTTGCCAACCAGTGTCAGCAGATGGAGAGAGATGAGCCCTGCCTTCAGAGTTAATGCACTCTGCAAGCATTGCATCTGCAGCCCTGGCTGGCAGGGGGCCTGGCAACTTCGGCTGCAGTCCAGCTTACTCTGACTGCGATCTTCACCCCCAGCCCTGTGGGTAGTGCTCACTATCGGCGGTAACGTGTGGGTCGATAAAGGACCATCTCCAGAATCGCAGTCCTCAGAGGTAGTCATTTCAGTCTGATCCTCTGAGATCTGGAGCCTGAAACTGAAGGGCGCTTGGCTGCGCTCTGAGCTCCTGGGGTGGAGCCGGTCCCCAGGGCTGGATTAACGCAGAGACACGTGTCCATTGCCTCAGCCTCTGGAGTCACATGAGAACATCGGGCTTCCAGCCCGCGCTCGGAAAAAGTGTCTAATGGTGTAGTGCCGGGGAATGCCGGCCCTTGACAACGTGAGTGTAACCCATGCAGAGATACCCAGTGCCTCTGTGAGGGTGGTCAGCCCTGTGAGCTGCTCTTCTCTGCGTGGTCTGGACAGCAAAGAGCACTGGAAGACATCAAAACCTGGTTGTAATATGAGGAGCAAGGTTACACTCACACCCCAGTGTTTGCGTAGGCTGAGATGTGGCAGGTCAACAGGGAACAACAGCGATGGGCCCCATCCCTGCAAAGGCAGCCTCTTCCAGTGTGAGCGGTCACCAGACCACGCGAGTAAGTGGTAAGGAGGGCTTGTGAAAAAGGAATCTGTGGGCAAGAAAAAGGGGGAAAAAAGAGGAGTGGTCTTACAGTAAAATGACATGTGCCAGGCCCCTTACAGCTTATCACACGGGAAGTCGGTCCTGAAGTAGATATTGCCAACACACCTCGAAGTAATTGAGTCTTCCCCAAGCTCAACTTGCTTAGCTCTTTGAAAGAAGAAAAAGTAAAAGAAATGGTGAAGATTAAATTAAGCACCATAATAATATTTCACAGCAGGTGGGGACACATCTCTAATTAAATGAAAATTAGGTTTTTTTCTAATGCAACTTTGAAATAATGATAGAACTCCCAGTTTCCTTTGGTGCATTCAGTCAAGGTGGTTCTTCTGCCTTAAGCCACTGTTCCCACCAGGAACTCACAATTTCTCTGAAATTAATATCTGGGGAAGCTGTGTGATTGCAGGACACAGTTCATCAGAGTGAGGACAGGGAAGAAGACTGTAGTGCGGAGAGAGAAAGAAGCTGGAAGATGCTTGGGCTGCAGCCTCTCCATTCCAATCCCCACCCAGCATTCAGGGAGATTTGGATCGTACGAATGAATCTCTGCCAACATGCGATGTACGATCCTGCACATAAAACCTTATTTGATACATCAGAGTGCCAGGAATCTTTGAACCATAAGCTTCCGTCCTGGTATTTGGGCAACTTGTGCCAAAATCAGAAAAATCTGATTAGAAGCGACAACAGCCTCCCTTGTCTGTAACGGCTTGTACGCCAGCAGGTGTGAACCGGGGGGAGGATGCAGGTTTCTGGCCTTCAAGAAATGTGGGCGTTAAGTCCACTTGAGCCTCTTAATCTGCATGCTCCAGGGACAAGATCAGATGAGAAGGAAAGCGTGACTTGGATCTTGTAATCTAATGATAAAAGCACTCGCGTGAGGGAGAGGAGATCTGGATCCCATTTGTTCTCTAGTGCGTGCTTTGCTCTTGTCTGTGGAATTGGAGCAGGGCTAAGAGAACCCAAGTCTCTTTTCAAAGGGTGCAGCGATGTTTGGTCAGTAGAGAGGCTTTTTCTCTGGGCCAAGAAATGCTTCATTTTTCTCTTTGAAATAGAAGCTCTTCAACATTTTGGCTGGAAGCACCTTCCTGCAGAACGTCTTATGCCTGGTGGTGAAGGCCATTATGAGGCAGAGGGGATATGGGGTTTGGCCTCTGTGACATGAAAGGGAATTGTACCTAGCTCTCCCCCTTCTTGACTAAGCACTCTTGCATAAAAATAGAGGTTTCCATGGCCTTCCACCGGTTTTGGACTTGCATTTTGGTGCCTGCCACTTTACCTGTGTGAAGCTCCCGCTGTCTTTGCCTTCAGCGTCAACCACTGGACTTTTACACACTGCCTGCAGCTAAACAGCATCAAGCAACTGAGAAATTATGTAGACCATAAGGATTTGTTGCATTTACTGCCAAGCAATGAAAGCCCATTTCACAGCTGTTGTGTTGGTGGACCTGAAGTGTCCAGTTGCTTTCCTGTCAGACCAGACAGGTGACAGAAATTCTGCTGGGCTGCCATGCTCCTGGGGTCTGAGCAGGAGACACCCAGCACTCACCGATGCCCGGTGAGGAACGCAGGCTCCTAAGGACCTTCACTGCTGGAGCCCAACTCCTGGAGCTGCTGGTTTATATCAGGTTTTGGCGTAACTGCAGGCCCAACCTCAGGAACTGACACTCTCCCCCTTCCAGCCAGCACCTTAACAGAGAGCTCAGCCAGTCCTGCTAGCTGCTCAGAGCAAAGCCAGGGCTCCTCTCCCACTGAGTGACAAACTCGGTGAGCTATGGACTTACTGCACATGTATTCCATGCACACACGCCGAGTGGAGCAGCACAAGCTGGTAAGTCTGGGTGTGAGGGGTCCCAGAGCCTCTCCTGGGAGGTCCAACCCCATCGTGAGAGAGGCAGTCCCGCTGCTGACAGCTGCTGTGGCCTGGGGGAGAGAAGGAGCTGAAGCCTCTGCCACCCCAGCCCATGGTGAAGGAAGGCGAAGCTCCCTCCAGCAAAGGCCGGAATCCCTCAGCCTGCGGTGCCTGAGGCTGCCAGGTAGCACCAGTCCAAGCCAGCTCTGAGCACGGCTGGTGCTGGGCAGGCAAGGTGGGACGAAGCTAAGGGAAAACCCAGGAGAAGGTTAGCAGTTTTGGCCGTGTGGTTCAGCTGTAAGCCAAGCATCTCGCAGGGCTGTGACTTGGCCTGGCTCCCCCGAGAGCCCCAGGGAGAGGCAGGCGGCGAGCCCAGCCCTCCTGACTCACGGTCCTGCTCCGAAGCGCCTGCCTGGAGCTGGCCCCTCTTTCCAGGAACGTGAAAGGAGGAAAAACAATCAAACAACCCGCCCCTTTCCTATGGCATTGGTTGTGAGTGGCTTTGCAAAGCCACTGTAAAAATGACTTTTTCCACCTTGGGCTGTGTGGCAGTGTGGGGAAAGCCTGTGCCTAGGGTGCAGCACCAGCTCGGCTCTGGCCAAGCCATGGCCATGCCCAGCCGTGCTGCGGTGAGGAGGCAGCTCCCCTGACCCCCAACACCCACACTTATCTGGCTTAGTATTGACCAGGGTACTGGGGACAGGGACGGAGATGTCCCAGCACAGCCTATGAGACAGCACTCTGCCTCGCATCGTGGAGCTGAACACCATAATTTGCTATTGCTACAAGAGCCCCATGGCTGTTTTTCGTCAACTTGTGGCACTGGCAACAGCTGGGAGGGCTTTGCTACTGAGCCTTAGCCCCAGGAAAGCATCGCACAGCCCTGGCCATCTGTGAGACTGCACATCTCTGCTGCGGTGCAGCACATGCGGTATGGCCCAGTGCATGTCCCATGCCACCTCAACCTCCTCCCTCCATCGGTGTGCCTGTTCTGCTCCTTCGTAGTGATGCTCGTAGGGCTATGATCTGGTGTGTGCTTTTCTTCAGAGTCTCTCCTCCAAGTGCAGATTTGGGAATGAAGCCTCATTGTCCCCTAGGCAAATGTGTAACCTACGTGTTTTAACTGTCA